ACCATTTTCCTCCCAGCTGGCCTTATAAGCCTCTTAAGTAGACCAGAGGAGACGTTTATTCCAAGGAGAACCTATTCTGACAGCTCCTGTGCCTCACATGGAATCATGCTCCCTCTGAGTGCCAAAGACTCATTCAGGCCAGCTGTGCCTCATTGTGCACCTTTTCAGAATTGACAGGAGGCTGTTTTGGTTCAAGCCAGCAGCACTTGGCCTGAATTTTGAGCCAAGATGGTGGGTTTCTCACTGAGACACCTCTCACTACATCTCACAATATTACGCACTGTGTGGCTCCAAAGATGACATCAAAGTGAATTCTACTACAGGAACGTTACATAAACAATGCCAACTAAGGTTTCTGCTGGAAGAGGTGTTAATGGGCCAGAAGGGGGTGCTCACCCTGCGGTCCATGTGGGCCCTAATGCCCCAGTATAGTAATGGGGACACTATAGTGTAAACAGGCGCCATCCTTCGGATGAGATGTAAAACCGAGGTCCTGACTCTCTGTGGTCATTAAATATACCAGGGTGTTTCTCGAAAAGAGTAGGGGTGAAACCCCGGCGTCCTGGCCAAATTTCCCATTGGCCCTTACCAATCATGGCCTCCTAATAATCCCCATCTATGAATTGGCTTCATTACTCTGCTCTCCTCCCCACTGATAGCTGGTGTGTGGTGAGCGTTCTGGCGCACTATGGCTGCCGTCGCATCATCCAGGTGGATGCTGCACATTGGTGGTGGTGGAGGGGAGTCCCCATTATCTGTAAAAGCGCTTTGAGTGGAGTGTCCAGAAAAGTGCTGTATAAGTGTAAGCAATTATTATCATTATTATTAACTTGTCTGTTAATAGTGTACCCATGACTTCTGTATGTGTAGCCTATTTACTTTTAGGTTTTTGTATACTCATTACTCTCAAAGTGCTGAAATAGGAGTTTCCTTTGCAAGCTCTTGCAGCATTTACTCTTGTATACTTTTTAAAATATGCATGAACTCAATTTTCACTCTGGACAAACTATGTTCAGGATGTCCATCACATTTCTTATGGATTTAGCAGTTTGCTGGTTTGCTCACGTTGGAAAAGAAACATAAGGCAACAGACTGGTTTTAAAATTAAATTAATATAAAATGGTTATTTTATAAGTACGAGTATTTAAGAGCATCAATAAGTGTTAGTCAGCAAAGAAATATTTGGACCAGCACAAATAGTAAAGAAATAAGGATTAACATCAAAAGAGGATGTCAATAAATCCATGCCTTAATCTCACAATACAGAGGACAAGCAAGTCAAATATGTATCAAAATTCTGTTATTTGTTCACTTGGGGTCCCTGTTATCTAATATTAGGTTTTCATTAAAGATCTGATAACATTCATTGTGGAAACAAATGCAGAAAATCAGACAGAGGGCAAATACTTTTTCATGGCACTGTATCTCTTATGGTTGTTGGTAGCTAATTGATCTGCAAAGCTCATTCACCTATTTCTTAAAAGAAACCGGGGCAAGCATTAAAACAACATTGCTGGGTATCTTGATGTAGTTGCCCACAGTGGAAATAGTTGTAATTTGCACTACTAAGCATAACTGAATTTACTGTGGCCGGATAGCTGCTTCACCATTATCAGAGCTGATCATTAATAATCACTCCCATGGATTATAGCCAATGCTTGCAGTTAAATCAGTGGGAAATGGATGGCAACAGTTTAATCAGATTCTGCTTAAAGCACAGAACAAATTTAAGTCAAAAGTGAATCGAAAGCTAAAAAACACTATCCCAAACAGTTCATCAATAGGAAAAAATGGGGAATATAGTGCCTTATAAAATGATAAAAAAATAACACGGTTCAGTTAAAGAAAAAACGTATAATGAAATATAATCATGGGTAAAAAAAGGACATTAGAAAGATCAAGACGGAAATTGAAAGGAATATTGAAATGGTGGCTAAATTAAGAAAAGGTTTTTTCAGTAGTACAACCATAAAGGGACCATCAAGGATGAAGTAAAATATATCCGTGACTAAAATAGGAAACTTGGAGACAATGAAACGGAATTGCATACAGCACGTTGGTGTTCATTGAGAAATAACTCAGCAAAATGCTTCAGGCAGCAGAGGGACAAAGTCCTGTATTATACAGTATTAGCATAGAAAAGGAATTATGTGTTTCATGTACTAGAAGCACTTCTTTAGATTAATAAATCCCCAGGATCTGATGGTATCTTACCAATTATACACAATAAAACAATTGTTATTCAGAAGCCTTTAATGCAATGCTTCCAAGAATCACATAAGACAGGGGTACTACCCAGGGACTGAAGAACTGCTAATAAAGTACCCATCAAAGAAAAGGGTGAAAGGGTGAAAACTGAAACAAGTAATTATAAACCCATATATCCGACTTCTTTTACATGTAAGGCTATGAAAACAATTATAAGACCATAACTAGAAGAACACATATATGAAAATAATATTCTAGGAAATAGTATGGATTTAGAGACATTACTGTAGGTCTTGCCAGGCCTACTAGTTAGATCTCTTTGAACAACCAACAACAGTAATGAATACACAAAGGGCATATATTATGTATTTAGATTTTCAGCAGACTTTTGTTACAGTTCCTCAAAATCAATTCTCAAATTGCAGGAGGTAGACATTCAGGGAAATGTGAGAGTTCAGATGGAGATTTGGTTATTAATTAGAAAACAGATGGTACAGATAAGTGGTGAACACTCAAATCGGGTTATAAGAACCATGCCTTTCCTTAATTCAAATCAACGTAATACTGTAGATTGTGGCATAGTAGGTGAAGTAGTCTAGATGATACCAAATTAGGAGGATTAGCAAACACTGTACAACCATCAAGTGAAATTCAAAAATGATTCTAAAAGATATTACTGCTCTGGAATCAGTCCAGAGAAGAGCAGCTAGACGTATTCCATAAATTGAGGGAATGTACTACACACAGAGTACAGGCTGAAGGAAGTGAAGGCTTTCAGTCTTGAAGATGATTAAATGGGGACCTGACATACTGTAGTATTCAAAATCCTCAAGGCCACTGACAACCCAGTCCACTCAGGTGTTGAAGCCAGTTCCCTGGCTTCTTTAATGAAACTGCTGAATGAGATTCTTGGATAAAGTCATTAACTAACTAGCAAACATGGTAGGTGGGCCAAAGAGCCTCCTCTTCCTCTTCCTCTACCCACAGCCGTTGCTAAGGGGGGGCATTAGGGGGCAATGCCCCCCCATGTGGGCTAACATGCCTCCCCCCAAAATAATTTTTTGAATAAAGTGGAAAAAATGTTTTCGTTTATTTTTTTTTAAATATAGACAAAGATTTCTTTAACTGATCTAACATTTCAATCAAATTTTCTTTTTCTTTCATGGTGAATGAAAAAACATAGCTAGGCCCTGTGTCACATCTGAGGTTTCAGTACAGGATTTATACTGTAGCCAGACATCGTTTAATCTGATTATGTTAATCAGAAAGCTAGGCTAACAGTAGTCTAAATAATGGATATAAAAAATGGTTCAAAGGACCATCTTCAGTCACCACCAGAGGGGTGTTTTTGCTACATTTGTCTTTGCCTCCTATATTGTAGTGTTGATTAGGTAACTATCATCTGTAGAATCATGTGTCTCAAATTGGCGCTCAAACCCGCCCCCCCCCGGTTAAAACCAAATGCCCACCTGTTCGAATTGTTCCGGCAACTGCCCTGATGTTACTAAAACCAGAAAATAATCAATTAGGAATTAAGTAGTTCAGGTGGGTAGCTGTGTCTGCATGCCTAGGCCGCAAAGGAACAAGTAATAGGTTTATTCCATGCTGAAAAAAAGAAGAAAGAAAACACAACGTTTCGGCCGTGGAGCCTTCTTCAGGTGTGAGGAGTAGGCTCCATGGCCGAAACGTCGTGTTTTCTTTCTCCTTTTTTTCAGCATGGAATAAACCTATTACTTGTTCCTAATTAGGAATTAAGTCTGATAGTAAATCTTTGGTTTGATCCAAAAATCTTATTAGTAGACTTTGCCAAGGTGTTGTGACAAACACAAGACAGGAATCCACTTCATCACTGTGACTTGGTGCCTATATACTGTACAGATAGTTGTGCTACAATGGTTTAAAGATGATGCAAGATATCCTCCTTCTGAATCCTCTTTACAGGTGTCAGCTGAGGTCAATATTCACCTCAATGACATCGAAAAGGAGTGGAATTTCAAACCAATCGCAGTTTCAGGGAACATAAAAAAACACTTGTCATGTTCCACTTTGGTCAACAACCTGCAGAGAAAGGATACACCTTTATCTCCTGTGTATAGAAATCCCCTCAGCTACTCTATACATGGGATGACTAAGGATGAATGCTCCCAATCTTACCATCAGCCCTTTTATAAGCACACACTTGGACTCCTAGTCACTCACAGTGTACCAGCTCAGCTTAGCTGAAGGGTTGTCCACATGCCCTGATGAATGCTTTGTCTCAACTGGAGCTGGAGGAGTTTGTGCATTAGCCAGTTAGGAACCTCTTTCAGTCCTACAGCAAGTGCAAAGACATAATGCATTGTTCTCTATTTTTCTGCTTATATACCTTAGAAACAGGGTGTTTATAACTTGGTGTCTTACATAGCATCTTATTTTAAAAGTACTTATTTTATAAGTATGTTCTGCCATTTATCACAGATATGACCAGACATATAAAATATTACCAAATAAACATTTTACAATACACTTATCTAATTAACTGTCAAAGGAAATTTTGATTTATTCCAACTTTCTAACATGCACTGCTTATACACAAAAGTTGGAATTAGTTTTTAGCTCCAGTTAGTCGATTCGTCCTTTAATACAGTTTTATAGATTTTTTTAAAGAATCATGTTTTTAATTGCACCAATTAAGTTGTGCACTGATTGATGCATTTTAAGTTTTTTAATGAACATACTTGGATGTCTATTTTAACGGGTCTGAAGTCTTCACTAATACAGGGCGTGAAGATTTCCAGCAATGTACGATTATTTACAGGGAAATACTTCGTATGTCACTGTTCAGACCATTGCTTATGATTTCCAAAATCCGAATTCTCCACAATGTTTCTCTCGTTGTCTCATCGATTAACCTTCGAACTCTCCCGTGATCTCATGTGCTATCTGCCGCAGCACATTCACACCCATACACAAGCTGCACGATTCCTTCACTGATTTAGAAGGTAAATGTCCAGGCCCAAACTGTTATTTCGTCATCTTGGTGGATCAGGTGTGATATACCGTAACCTGGTCTGCTTGTCATTTTATTTCAGCGAAGCAGCAGGTCTTTTTAAGAGCGCCAGCTCATGTACCCCGTTCAGCAAAGCACCATACTCGGCTGACGTCTTGTGTGGGCGGAGTGCAGTGTCAGCGTGCCGGCTTGCAGACTGCCTCCGACATGGGAGCTGTCCATAGGAGAGCAATGTTTCTGTAGCATTTCCTTATATTTGAATTAGATCAACTTTTTCAAAGCATCTCGAACTCTAAAACAGTTGATTTATTGGATGCAAAAAAAAAAAGCTCTTCAAAAGCCATTTTCGAATACATCCTCGCAGAGAGACATCCGTCTTCGCCTTGCTTTCGGAATTGTAAAGCTGAAGCATCGTGAGTTGAGGTGTGTTCGTACGAAGATCTGTCAGAAACCGACGTGGCCGTAAAGGAAATAAAACAGTCCCCCTCGTTAATCTAGCATTACTGCAAATGCCGTTTGGAGGCCGCATGGAGTTCGCTAATCAGACATGCCAAGTGAGTAATTATTAATTAGATCAAACAGTTTGCTATGTTTAATTATGGCGATTAGTGCTTGTTCTCTTTCCACACAAGTTGAACCTGTTCAGCATCTGTCTCTGAGAACCTGCATCAGTTATGAAGTTGTGAAGTGGCATCATCGGCATTTGCATGCTGTGTAAACTGGTATGTAAATATACATGTTCTAGCTCAACAGTTTCGTATGTTCTTCTTTACACTCTACAGCGAACGTTTACTTCACGTTTGGGTCTACTGCGGCGTTATTTTGCAGTGCCTTTAATTGCATAATAAATAAAGATGAGGGTTACAGAATACTGGGCAGATAACAGTGTTGAATTAAACGTACAGTGAATGTCACACTGCAGATACAGCAGACGGATTATAGTGTTTTTTCCACTTCCCGTGTCAACCTTAATTAGGGTTCTTCGTGTTGCTGTAATGTGGGCAGATTATTGTATTAAGCTATATTTGGCTAAGAAGACCCTCAGGATTTCCCCAAGTTCATTTTCTCAGCTCGCGTACACGCAGTTTTTGTGCAAAGGAGTTTAGTGCCGTTTTCTCTCAGGCGATTGGCACTTTACTGGGAGTAGCTACATTTGTCTTTAAAAATAGCCGTGGGTGTTAATATGATTATCTAAATTGAGTTTTCCTTTTCGTTCCTGTTGCACAAGCAGACCCTAAGGTGGAAGGCACGCTGGAGGGATGTGCTGATTTCCAGAGACACTCGCGTATCTTGTGCCATGTGGTCTGTGGTGCAGAGCTTAACGTTGCAGGCAGTAAAAAGGAGGGTGGGGTTGGACAGCAGAGGCAACAAGAAACCTGAACCAGTTTATCACCTCTCTTCTTTCACAGCCGCATCACGGTTGCTGGGATTTGACACTTCATTCGTGACTTTGCGATTTAATTTAAAGACTGCTGATATTATTGTACAATTTTTGTACACCTCGTAGGAAGTAATTAGAATAAAGGCAAGAGACACAAGACACGTTCTATCCCCATAGTTTAATTAAAACCACTAATAACTGCAACGAAGGGATGGGAAATTGCCCGCAGGTGCTAAGTAATAATGTGAGCAGAGCTAAAATTGTCTTGCCTTGTATGTTAGAAGATTCAAATTTTTGGGGTGAAAAATATTCCATGCACTGTAAAATCAAAGCGCGTTGCAGAGTCTCGATTTTTTGGATGGATTATTTCGTTTCCATACAGTATAACATGCTCACGTTTTTTTTTTTTTGCATGTGGAATAGTTTAAAGAGTTTTGATTTTTAATTAAAGTAACCTTACCCCTGTTCAGTTCTTATCAAGAAAGTGAAGATTTATGCAGGCCCTTCTGGATGTATGGAATTGCATGACATTTCGATAAATCAGAGGATCCCAATTGATGCCTGTTTCCACTTTTGTTTTTAGCAAATAATAAAATTACAGATAAGTTTCACTAACATTTGCATGTTGCCCTCAGGAGACTGTATGGGTTGGACTATGTCCTACCTTCTTTGCCAGTGCTCCATATTTGTCTTGCGGCTGTAATATTTCTATCTGCCTGCCAAAAACGAATGGATTCGTCTGGTCTGTTGTTCCCTGCTATTTTACGTGCTACATAAGGAAAGTCCCAAATACCAAAGGGCTGGACCAGCTAACAATGTGAAGGGGGTCATTTAAGCTAATGAACCATAAATATAATTTTTAGCTTGCTACTGTACATGGTGAACTGTTGAGGAATTTCTCTAATAGAAAGCATGAGAGTACAGTGGTGCAGTAGTTAACACTGCAGCCTTGCAGCTCTAGGGCCCTGGGTTCAATTCCTGAGGTGCTGTTCTCCCTATATTTGTGTGGGTTTTTTGCCAGATGCTCCTGTCTCCTCCCACATTCTAAAGATATACTGGTAGATTAATTGGCTTCTGGGTGAGTGTGCACGTGTCTGTGTCCGTCTGCGTGTGTCCTTTGACGGACTAACGTCCTGTCCAGGGGGTACCCTGCCTTGCCTTGTAGGGATATGCTCTGGCTCCCAGTGAATAAAGTGATTAGAAAATGAATGGGTGAAATAGAAAGAACTGTGTCGTAGAAAAAGTCATGAATAAATTGTTAGTAAGATTCAACATTGTCATGGTGATCCTTAGATCTTTCTCTTAAAATGCAGTATTTGCATGGGCAATGATGGGAATTGCATGGAATTATATGATGGGAATGGCGGTACAGGGTTTTATTTTGAATTCCATAGCTTAATTAGCTTAGTATTTTAAAATCCTGGATTTTGCAGGAAATACAGAGTGTTTCAGTGGACCACATGGACACTTTTTTGATGCTTGCTAATTTTGCAATTGTTGGTCCTGAAATAAATATTGGTTAGAGAAGAGTGTGTGAGCGTTACATCTTCAATAATATCCAGTAAATGTGTTATTTATTCTGGCCTTTTCTTGAGCCATCCTTTCCTTGCTTTTTGTGCATTAGCATTTTTATTAAATCAGCGTTATACAACATAACCTGCACAGGAAATAGTTCATCTTCCTAACGAGATCTGCATGTACTGTGTTTGGAAATTGAGATGTACAATGACAAGCTACTGGAAAACTACTTTAGTGTTCTGATCTGAGCACTCAACATAGCCCTTTGTATGAATCATTTCAGTATTCTTTTACCTTATTCTTTTCACCCTGTCGTAAATGAATTGGAACGATACATACTATATGACATTGTCCTATGCGTATGCAATAGGTTTGCTGCCTGAAGAAATTCTTTCTTATTTTTGACTTTGTTGTTCATACACCAGTTTGTAAGTGGTATTATTTTTTCTTGTACTTTGTGATCGTGTTGCATAGGGGAGGATTAATGTAATTTAGCCTTCTTTAAAATACTGGCAGCTCAATGGTGCTCTTACAAATGGCTGGGTTAATGGGAACACTTTCTGGGGATAGCTCAGGCACTTTCAAAAGATACTGTACTGCAAAATTGAAGCCAGCTGCACTGTAATTATATTAATTTACCCTGTCCCTGGCTGTGCTTTTTATTCTGTGACTGCATTAAATACAAAGTGAAAATCAAAAGTGGCCTTTTTATTTTTACGGAGAGAATACAGGCCGTTTAATTTAAATTCATTTCAAATTCTAGCAAGCATAAAAACCTCTGAAACAATGAAGGTAGGAAAAGCTTTAACTGACTCTGCATTGACAGTTCTATACAACCTGCTTTTAAAAAATGGTCCAGTCCATACCTTCAGTACAAATGTCTGTAATGGAGACGCCTCCAGTGATCTCAAAATCTTTATAGAGAAGAAATCCACATTGTAGGAAACTGTTAAATGGGTTTTCAGTATCTAGAAGACATAAACTACCAGGCAGGCCTAAACAAAACACAAATAACCCTCCAACTAACTTTTGAAGTGAGGCTTGAATGTACAGTAGATAAGATATACAGGGCGTGCCTCCTCTATTTTTTTCTTAAAGGTAGTTGGGATTCTAAACATCAAAACTTCTCCATACAATGCTGGGGAATGTGATTGAAGGCCTTTCTAAGCCCGGTCCACAAATTGCTTCTGATGGTTCTTCATGATTCTACAGTATAGGAGGGACAGTATCGGCCCTCCCTACTTCTCCATTCACCTTCCTGTATTCCTGAGTATTCTCCTTTGGTCTGTTCTTCTCTTGTGGGTTTCAGATCTTGCCTCCAGTGTCTTTCCTTTATTTGTGCTGTGTACCCAAACCATTGCATTTTAACTTCTTTGTGAACTCATGTTTGGTGTCTTGTTCACTCTTTCCTCTCTGTTTAGTCGATGGTGGTATAGAGGCTTGATGGTTAGGGCTGCGCTGCTGACTTGCAGTTCACGTTCTCTGGGTTCTGTTCTGGACATAGGAGCCTTCTGTGTCCAGCCTGCATGTTCCTCCTTGGCTGTGTGGGTTTTCTCCAAGTACTCTTTTTTCTGTCCAATGACAATGACTGTTCAGGTAAGGTGGTATGGGTAGAATTGCCCTGTGTGCATAATGTATGTGAATGAATGCACAACAGTATGAATGAATGCCTGTGCCCTGTGTCTGCCAGGTTAGGCTTTGACTCACCTTGACTCTCTAATGATAACAGTTACTCAAACTGGATGGATTGTATTGGGTCCAAAACCCTTAGAGTTACATTTGGGCATAAACTTCACTCCAATTTGTACAATGCCTGGTATTGTTGTGGGCAGTTCTTATTATACTGTACATGGTTGAGTCTTTCCATTTAAATTACTTGCTGTTTGTTCCAAGTCTGGGTTTATCTGAGAAACATATCAAAGGGTGGTCTTAATGCAGCATAATCAGCTATCTTAATCTTAAATGGTGTGTTGTTCTGTATATTAATAAAAAAGCTGTAGTGGAAAACACTATTCACTATTCACAAGCTTTTGCAAGTATGATAGATTTTATAACATAAGGTGTGTTTAAGGGAAGTAGCAGCCTCCTGTCTGAAAAACTTCCAGGGGTTCAGCACTTCTTTATCATTGTAAATTTAAGTATATTGTTAAAATTAACTGCCCTTTAGATATGTATGCGTATATAATGCATAGAATAGACAATTGTTTTTTTTCTAGACGACTTCAAATTCCATTTCACTCCTGGTGAATGGCTTTTTTAATCCTTTTTTGACATGTTTATACGTCTTCCTCAAATCTGATTTAAAAGCTTGGCTGAAGACTAATGAAAGCAGCCTGCCCTCACTGCAGCTTTCTGAAACAAAGGTTATCTGAGGGGGGGGGGTGGAAATTAGTGAGTTTTAGGAAAGATAAAAGGTTTCACTTTTCAGGAACTGCAACAGTTTTAGTTCATTCTGCATGTGAGATTATTCTTAAGTGTAGAATTTATTACAATGAGTTCATACAAGTCAAAAATGGGTCTGGAGAGTGAACTTCTGTGCCTTCACTGGTCCCTGTAGCATAGAGCATCATTTGGGTCTCTGATTAAGACATCAAAGTTCTGACTTTTTTTTTTACAAGGATAGAAATTTAGTTAATTTTTACAAGCTAGGAATTA